GACACTATGGGATCAGAACACTAATGGACAAGGGGAGGAGGGGTTAAAGAACACTATGGGACAGGGTAGGAGGGGTTAACAATCACTATGGGACAGGGTAGGAGGGGTTAACAATCACTATAGGACAGAGGAAAGGGGGTTAAAGATCATTATGGGACAGGGGAGAAAAAAAAATATTCTGAACAAACTGTCCCATGGTAAGAAACACTATGGAACAGTTTGTTCAGAATATTTTTTTTTCTGGGTTTCCTCCTCTAAAAACTAGGTGCGTCTTATGGTGAGGTGCGTCTTATGGAGCGAAAAATACGGTATGTATTAGGTTAGTTTAGACCCAGATCTAAAGGCCACGTTACAAAGGCTAAGCATATGTATGTAAATACGATGTATCAACTGAGGGAATTATTCACCAAATACCAAACTGTGATTAATTGAAAACCAAATTGCACAATTAAGGTTAAAATATTTGGATTTAAACAAAAATCTCTATCTAGCTATAGTCAAAGCTTGACTATTCAAATTTAGGTTCACTACAATTTAGTGTTTAGTGTAGAAACCCACCTATGTTAAATTTTAATAGATAGTGCAAGAGCATACAAGATCCTTTTAATTCTCGAATACCGGTGGGTAATGAAACCTTTCTTCTAAGAACAACAACAACAAGGCACTGGCTATAACATGCAACACATAGTTCACTAATCTACTGAATTGCTCCCAAGTTGGTAGTTTTTGGAGAAAGCAGTACATTTTCGAGCAATCACCAATACAAATATTCAATAAACGCATCTTTGAACCATTTTTAACTTTGGGCAAGGCCGAATCAATCACTATCGTTAATCCTGAAAGATTTTATATAAAGGTTTTTTATAATATTAGTTTTGTATAGTAAAAATGTATTTAGGATTACGTTTTTCAACCAAACTTTAATTAAGCATAAAATGTAAGGTTTTTAAATTCACAGAATTTCCAGAACTATTTTGTCATCAAGAATACTGAAGGATAAACATAACCAACTATGGAGTATATTATTGTATTCAGTATGAACATTTAAAAAAAAAAAAACTATTAATGTCTGATACACATCGCCAATGCATTTCTAGATTACAATATACACTATACTTCACTATAATGTGTATTCATTATGCCTGAAAGTTATTAGCAATAGAAAAAACTTTTATTAAAGCGGAGCTTTCACTGTCTGGGGACTTTGCAGAATTTTCAAAGATCCCAGAGGATGACATCACCACTAGGGGTCTGATGGCCAGGGGCAGGCAAAGGTGAGTTTAACTTAACTGAACCTTTCCCTGGCAGGCGCTGCCATATTCTACTCCAGGAGTTGACGTGACCAATATAATCTTAACCATGCGTACAGCATTGAGGTCTATGGAGGATCCCATGATACCCTCCATAGAGAGTCAATTCCGTGCAGACCGGGGATTGACATTTCTGTACTGCGTTAGTTTCGCCCACTTTCAAGAAGTGTCAAGCGCAGGAAAAATACTGAGACAAGGTAGTCCCGGCCGTCATTGGTCCTAAGTTTTAAATAAAATAAATAAAAATAAATAAAATAACTAGTTTTGTTTGATAAACTTACCCATTCGTCCCCACCCTTCTATCCTGTAGTGTTTCCTTTTTTTTTTTTTTGCTTTAAACGTACCATGCATGGCATTGTTTCTCAATAGTAGCTCACCTATTACAGATGTGTCAATGTCACGTATATGTTTCTAACAGCACAGAGCAGTTTTGTCACAGCCTTTTGCTACTTTCCAATGCTATTTTCATGGTTATTACTATACACTAAACAAAGTTATTTTTAACTTTTGTTTTACAGCTACATATATGCTTGCACTTCTTGTCTCAGAATCAAGTCTGATAAATCGTGTACTATTTGTTTTGTGATAACTTCTCCAGAAGGACCAAACTCCATCCTACGCTCTTTGTAAATACAGGATTATGATGCTTTACACCTGTTGGAAACACTAAGTCAAACACATCTCACCTGCTGTTGACATCTGTATTTTTGCAGGATCTGTTACACTTTATTTTCCACTGTTTTCACAAGCAATCTTCAAAAGATCAAGGTAGATATGAGGGCTTATCTTGGTTTTCCGAGATAAGTTTCTTTGATGTCTACTTATCTCACTACTTGTGAGAAGAACTTAAAAAGGAATGTAACCTTGTTGGAAATGTGTTTTTTGTGCAGTTTAAACATATGAGTATTAAGTGCTATTTTGATTGGGGATGTTTATGGTTTTTGCCAGAGCCCTTTTTATGAATATGAGGATTTTCCGGAAATTTGTAAACCACCCCCAAAACCAGGTTGTGATTGTAAGTAGTATAAAAATGGATTGGGGCTGAGTACAAACCTAAGAGAGTGAGATGTAGGCAAACCACATTGTTATATTCAAGTCATATTTCCAAGACAAGAGTAGTCCAGCAAACTACACTGCAGCCAACAGGAATCGGGTTATAGAGCTACAGGAATTGACTCTGTTTCAAAAAGAAGCCAGATAGAACAGGAACAGATGGTAAACCTTTAAGTGGATGAGGTACAAGGCTAGAGGACACAAGGCTCTAGGTAAGGAGAAAGTTCAAATGAAGGAATAAGGATCTACAGTAGATAGAGTCACACAACATCTTCTACCATAGAAAGAAAACCAGAAAGTATTTCTGAATGACGGATCATTGAGCCAGAGGCTCAGAATGTTTTATAGAATAATCAGACAACATCTATGTGTCATATCACCATGGCCTGGAACTAAGGGTGGACACCCAGGAATGAGCCTGAAAGTATATGGTGCTCTATGTGCACCCATTGGCCATTGAGTTAGGGGTCCTCATCAAGAAAAGTACAAATCATTTTCACAGGTCATTGCTCTTCTTGCTCTTACCGAACCCTCCTGTGTTTTAAATGCAGATGCAAATAAGGGTTTGTTTTTACTTTTTTTAAATGACAGGATTTACTAGATGCAAACGGTTTATTTTTCACTTTACTTTAGACATCTAGGTCTACAAAAGCTATACATGTCTAGTATACATCTAATTGTATCAAAAAGAAGGGAGATTGCAGAAGATCTCCAAAAATAAACATCACAAGATATAAATCTTCACAATAAGGATTAGAAAACAACACTAAAGATATATGGACAGAAAAGTAGAATGGTAGGAAAAGAACGTGATGAGATATAGGTTAGCATAAATGCAATACGAAAGGCTGGATTCCCTGGTGTATTAAAGTAACCACTATAGCGTTAGGAATACAAAAGTGTATTCCTGACTCTTTAGTGTCCCTGAACCATAAACTTATTGTGCACCTGTCCCACTTTACCCTGCAATATAAACATTGCAGTTTCTCTGACACTAGGGCCAGAGACACTGCACCCAGACCACTTTAATGAGATGAAGTGGTCTGGGTGCCTGTAGTGTCCTTTTAAAAGAGATGCAGCAGACCAATGTTACAAGTGGCCAACATCCAGTTGAAACGTTACACACGCAAATACTTTATTTCATTAAATCACTAGGAGAGATAAAAATAGAGAACATTTTTTGTCGTTCTTTTAGGTTATTCAATGTCAATGTGGCTGCATGCCTAAAAGCAGTTATCACCTAATCAAATTTACTATGCCCTGCTGTCAGTCTAGATATATTATTTGCCTATAGAGAATATATTTTATTTTCATTAGCTGTGTGCCAGGGCATCATTGTACTTTACCCCAAAAGCTACTTGCACACAAATAGTTAGGATTCCCGACAGTCAATACACAATGATCATAGTTACAGGTACAGAACTTTTATAACAAAAGGAAAAATGTAGACTAAAATAGGTTGGTGTAAAAAAAAAAAAAAAAAAAAAAAAATTTTTATTTTTTTTTATATTCGCTATAGTTAGAGCCTTGTTACTTTAGTCTACATTTTTCAGTTTGGTTTTCATTTCACTTCAATTCAGTGTTCACTGTACACTTAAAAAACAAAAAATTACTTTGATGTAAAAACTGTATGTTGTTTAAAAATGTTCAGCAGTTTTTAAGATGTTTTTTAATATATTACTGCATGCCTTCCCAGAAACTTATTATGCTTTGTGCAATTTTTCTGAAGCCTGCATTAATTATAAAAAAAAAAAAAAAAAGTTACATAGATTTATAAAAAAAATAATATATATATATATATATATATATATATATATATATATAATCAGTATAACACAGGTCTAGCGAATGCAACCAATTATTTCAATAATCAGGTAATGTATGCATAAATATGTTACTAAGAATAAAAAAACAAAAACATGCAGACCGTTTGAGAAAATGTTAATGCAACCTGGACAGATTTTATGCTCTATTGATTAATGCTAAGTCATTTTTTTTTTCATGTGACAGATCTGTTCTAAGCTCTAGCACACAAGATCTCGCCTTTATTATGTGTTTAAATTGATAAAAAATGTATGTATGCAGCGTCTCACCATGGCACAATGCTATGGGTAATGAGGAGCATTCTAAATAAAATATAATACATCCACTGTGATATATTGCAGTTCTAGTCACAAAGGTCTGAAATTGTAGTACACAGTAAGCCAAGTGTAGATCATTTGTCCACTGCAAGGGTTAAACAAGCCTTACAAAAGGACTGTCAGTTTCTAATGGGTTAAGTCAATTCCTTGTGGATCTGTGGCAGATTATGAAGCAGTGAATTAAGTTAGCAGGGGCTGCTGATTGCCTCTGACCAGCTCACAGCACCAAAGGCCATCTATCACAGGTCCTGACAGCACTCCAGAGTGGCAGAAATAGCGGTGCAGGAGCACTTAGCGAAGGTTTACTTCAGCATTACACCTTGCAAAATGCTATTAAGCAGCCTGATGTACAGATACCACAGACAGACAAAACTTTTAGCACTGTCTACAAAATCACAGCCCATCTGATCCCTTACCGAGAGCACGCATAGGGATAGAAAAGACAATCAAACAGTATTTATATAAACACATATTACAAACGGAGATAGATATATATATAAATAAAGTGTCCTTTGAGAAGTTCTAGAGACAATATAGCCAGGAGACCAAAAAATCCGGTCCTTTATGGATGCCCACAGAACCCCTTGATGGTAATCATTCCCATAATATATTCTTCACTGTTCGGTTTCCTCTGCATTATATGATTTTCGAGGGATTTTAGTGATTTCCTTGCTGGGAAAATTCTGTAATATCTATAATATATATCTAGACTGTAAGCTTGTTCGAGCAGGGTCCTCACCAACCTATTGTTCCTGTAATATTTTGTAATTGTCTAACTTATTGTTAAATGTCCCCCTTTTATAATAATGTAAAGCGCTGCAAAATAAATTGGCTCCATATAAATGCCAATACTGATAAAATGAAAAAAATATATAATATACATAGCCTTTGAATTGTGTGATTGTGAAAAAGAGTGCTGTGGGATATTTATATTTAAATGGTAATAAACCATTACATTCTACCCATTTATCATTTCTAAGTCTATATATTAGCTAGCAATTACTCTTCTGAATGTATATATTGTTTATTTTTAAATCCACTCAAAATGGAGTGCTTTAAACAAAATGGAGTGCTTTAAACAAAATGGAGTGCTTAAACCTTTAGTTCCACGACAGACTATAATAGGTGAGACAGATTCTGTTTGAACCATTTGCCTGGATTTTCTGCCATTGTGTACATAAACAGTAGATACTCAAAAAAGCACTGGCGTTGCAGAACAGTGCTCTTACGAAACTCAAACATTTGGATTGCTCTCCTCTAATGATGGGAAGCATTTACACAGAGCTTTAAGAGGGAGTACATAAATCAGTTCATGACAGAAGTCACTGTAGTCTAGGACTGGGGTGTCAAACTATGCTTGAGGACAATAATCCTGATAAAGTATTAGAATGTTCTTAATTAACATGCAATTCAACAACATATGTTGTGTATAATAACGGAGGCCGAAAACCTGGTGTATCTGCAGCCTCCAGGACTCTTGTCTTCCAGAGGTGAAAAAGCCAATTGGTTATTGAACAGTGTGGGGAATCCTAGGGTTATTTCGAAATTGCAATCAGCAAGCAATGACTCATAAGTTTCTTTGATGAATTCTTGGTTCTAAAGGCAGTCAAAGCACCATGATGTGGTTCTTAATGACCTAAAAGTGAGATTTGTGGTTATTTGAGTGCCGGCGTGCTGTATATACAGGAAAAAGGTCAGAAGTCAATGCATCTTAAAGGAAGATGTAAGATACAATCCAGGAAGAGATCTGTATGACTTGGGTGTGTGGTAACACCTAGTTAACAATGCAGTGAAGTCACCTTAATGTATCGTTCTCAAGAGAATATCCTCCATCACACCACAGTCCATGCATTCAGCAATCAACAAACCACTACAAGGTCAAAAAGTGGAAATAAATAAACATACATACACACAATAGAGGTCATGGCTTTAACGACTTTTATTACATTTTTCTTGTCATTTTACAGGAAGGCCAGACCAATAAATTGCTTTTGACAAACTTCTAAAAACACTGTTTGTACAGACACCACCCTTAGATATACATATCAGAAATAAATAACCCGATATAAACCTACTAACAATTACAAATGCTGATATAACTAAAAATCACAAATCAATGTGATAAGTATTCAAGTATAAAAAGTTATCAAGTAAATGTGGCTCAAAAAGTTATTTATCAACATATATGCAGAAAGAACATTGTAATGTATATTAACAACCAACATTGTTTTAGTTTTTTTACAAAACATACATACATTATTACATTTGAAAATTGTTCAGCTTATGCATAGAACTGAATTTACTTGTTTATAAATTTTTGTTAAAAAACACATTTTATATAACTCATGGAATTTTATAACATTGCATTAACTCTCTTTACTAAACTCCACAGCAGTAAAGAAAAACGTAAAGAGTAACATTAAATCACTGAGCAGCATAGTATATATAAGGGTCATGCTGCCTGTACACTTCCTCTTTCTTTACTGCTCCACGCAGACAGGTCAGACTATTTGGCTCCTCCAGAGCCTTTTCTTGCATTATTCTGTATTAGTCTGTTTTATTTATTTTATTACTTGCCTTTAATTAATTTCTGTTTTGTCTGTATATTCATTATTTATATTGCCTGGCTAAGGCTGTGGGTAGGACCAGGTCCCCCTTTTAGTTTCTCCCTCCCTGCCCCTCTGCCGGCCCTGGGACTCCCTGGGCTCCCCCCTGGGCTTCCCTCAGGCTCCCCTCCGGTTTTCCTACCTTGGGGTGCCCTCCTGGGCCCCCTACTCGCGACCGGAATAAATCGCGATCTTTTTCGCGCCGGCCGGCGCCCGCCCGCGGCCGGCCTTAAATTTAGTCCCCGGCTTGCGGCCTACACTCGTGGCCGCCATTTTGGATCGCGAATACAGCGAGATTCTTGTTTTTTCGCCTGGATCTCTCTGGGGACTCAGTACTTGCTGCCTTAGCTCCCTTCCACCTGCTTTTGTGCTGGTCTGAAGCCCTAGTGTGAACTCCTGCAGCCTATACTCTGTGACTGTGAGTTTCATCACTGTGAGTGACAGGATTACTTACACTGCAGGCCTATAATCTGTGGATGTGAATTTCATCACTGCAAGTGACAGGATTACCTACACTGCATGCCTATAATCTGTGGCTGTGAACTTCATCACTGTGAGTACCAGGATTACCTACACTGATAATATACTCTGTGGCTGGGTCAGTCAGGTCAGTGCTGCTGCCTGCTTATTATTGTGACCTGCACTTAAGGGTACCAACCCTGTGCAACCGGGGTGAGCCCCCATTATACGTACTTGTGTACCACGCTGCTTATTGGGAGACTAGCTGTTGCAGTTCTCTCTAACTGGGTGAGCCCCAGTTTTTTATAAGGTCACCAACTATACCCTGCTGGGGTTTCTTATACTGGGTGGAGTGTTACCCACCACAGGTGCCACGTCAACTGACCCTACGCCTATATATTTAAGACCTGGGTGCCCCATTTATACTGTGCCTATCCGTGATTTATATCAGCCTACCCTTACCATGGAAGACTCCCAGAACGTCCCTGTGGACTTCCAAGCAATGATCAATGCAGCTGTCGCTGCTTCGGTGGAGAAGGCACTCTCCAAGGCATGCACTACAGAGGCGCCCAACGCAGGCGACCTCGCCAGGACTCAGATTCGGATATGTCCGACTACCGGACCAGGGAGGATTCCCGTCCGAGGAAACGCCATGAGAAAGGCGAAGATCAGGCACTAAAACCTCTTAAGGGTAAGGCGCATGCCAAGCGCAAATCTGCCAAAGCTAGTACCCCGACCCCGCGTCAGGATTACTCTTCGGACGAAGAGCAAGGGTCTTCACATAACATGTCAGTGCTGGACGAATGGCAAGCTGACGTCTCTGATTCAGACGACGCTTGGGGTTCGGACGAAAAATCTGTCTCCGCCCTCATGCGGGAGACTCTTCTGGGTGCGGCCCAGACAGAGGGTACTGAAGACACTGCGGACGCAGAACACCCTCTAGATTCGGACACCATTTTAGACCCTTCGGGTCAAGCGATGTTTGATCCCCGCAACATCCGCCACCCCAGATCGGGAGACTGGTCACCCCCAGAACACCTCTCCAGGTTTATGCACCTGTGGCTTCGCAAGCCCCTGGAGAAAGAGGTCCGCAACCGGCTCAGATCCGAATGCCCACGCCCTTCCCTGCCAGATAAAGTGGCTCACACTCCCGAGTTTGATAAGGTTATGACAACCTTCATGATGCGTAGTGGGAGAGACCCTCGACGAGGGGTAGAGAAAGGCCTATTCGGCGCACAGGATAACCTGCTGGACTCCATTGGCCCTCTGGCCCGTATCATGTACCTGGCAGATGACGCCCTTGCCAGAGCCGATTCTTTCTCTGCCGAGGACATCAAGGAATGGGCACACGACGTGCGCGAATGGGCACAACGGTGTTTTTGTTTCATTGGAAACACTAATGTTACGCTCTCTTCTGAGAGACGGAAAGCAGCGCTATTCCGTATTAACGGTAAATTGGCAGAGCTTGGCACTAAGGAGATTGGGCCCCAGGCACAAGGAAAATTGTTCGGTGAACCGTTCCTCAAGGAACTTAAACACGTGAACGTGTTCACTTCACTTAATAAGGCGCAGTCCTCTATGCGCAGAGTCTTCCGAAGCACTACCACCAGAGGAGTTTTTGGAAGGGCTGGCCGGCAACGGGGCCGTGCCGCCAGCCGATTCTGGCCTTCAGGCCCCCGCACTCAACCGACACCTTTCTACCCAACACGAGGGTACAGGCAACAACCTTTCTCACGAGGCTCGGACAGAGGCCGGGGACCACGCGGATGCGGACGTTCCCGCTTTGCTACAGGTAAGCACCCGTATTCCTCCATTGTTACCTTGCACCCGCCACGCGGGCCGTATTTCCCATTCTTTCCAGAATTGGGCCGCTCTGTCCTCAGACAAGTGGATCCTACAAACGGTACAGGGATATGTCATAGACCTAGTAGGGACTCCCTTTCAGACACAACCTCCTCACCCCATCCACATGTCATCTTCCGACCAATCCCTCGTCAACGCGGAACTACGCGAACTTTGGGACAAAGGGGCTATCCAGCCGACCTACGACGGGGGAGGTTTTTTCAGCAATATTTTTCTGGTTCGGAAGAAGTCGGGAGAATTCCGTCCGGTCATCAACCTACGCGGCCTCAACGCGTATGTGGCATATCGCCACTTCAAGATGGAGGGCATCCACCTTCTGCGGGACCTCCTACAAAGCAACGACTGGTTCACCAGACTAGATCTAAAAGATGCATACCTGTCGGTCCCAGTGCATCCGGATTGCCGAACACTCCTACGTTTCCTCTGGCACGGCCGTCCTTGGCAATTCACCTGCCTCCCTTTCGGGCTCAGCTCGGCCCCTTGGTGTTTCACCAAACTTCTGAAACCGGTGGTGGCCCACCTGAGATCCAGGGGCGTCCGATGATTCATCTACCTGGACGACCTGCTTCTCTTTTGCTCCAACGAGCACAGACTGCACCAACACACTCATCTCGCAGTAACACTGCTGGAATCTCTGGGCTTCGTGGTGAACCGCCAGAAATCGGAATTGACCCCAACCCAGACGATACAATTCCTGGGTTTCGAGATCGACTCGACTACATGCACTCTAAAGCTTCCAGCCTCGAAGATCTCGTCTATTCGCAAGGAGATTCGCAGAGCACTCCGTTGCGACTCCATCCCTCTCCGCAACCTGGCCAGGATCGTGGGACTCCTCTCCGCCTCCATTCAGGCCATATTCCCGGGTCCCCTCCACTACAGAGCCATGCAACGCCTCAAGGCGAGGTACCTACGCCGCAGGCCCACGTACGATCAAATCGTCCCGGTGACGACGGAAGTTCGTGAGGAACTGTCATGGTGGCTGGACAGCATGCAAGCCTGGAACGGCAGGGCCATATTCGGAGACACCCCAGACTTCGTACTGGAGTCAGACGCCAGCTTGTGGGGCTGGGGCGCCACCAGCGGGTCCATATCCACAGGAGGAACATGGACAGCGCAGGAACTCTCCATGCACATAAACTGCCTGGAACTCCTGGCGCTCCGCAGCCTGGCCCGAGACAGATCCAACTGCTGCATCCTCCTACGCATGGACAATGTCTCCGCAGTCCGATATATCAATCGCCTGGGGGGCGCACGTTCACGTCTACTGTCAAACATCACAAAGGACATTTTCAACTATTGCCTACCCCGCAACATCGCTCTCTAGGCCGAATACCTGCCCGGGGAAATCAACCTCACGGCCGACTGGTTCTCTCGCCACTGGAGGGACGTCAGCGATTGGAGACTGAACACGAGGATCTTCAGAGCCCTGGCGACCCAGAGGGGTCCCTTTCACCTGGATCTGTTTGCGTCCCGCAACAACCACCAAACCCCGGAGTTCTTCAGCTGGCTCCCGGACCCGGAGAGCAAGGCGACGGATGCCTTTCTACAACAATGGCCAACGACCGGAGCCTATGCCTTTCCCCCATTTGCCATGATCGCAAGAACATTACACCAGATGCGGCCGCAACAGGTCACTCTGGTCCTCATAACACCCTTGTGGCAGAGCAAACCATGGTTTCCGGACCTCCTAGCCACCTCCTGCAGGGATCCTCTCCTCCTTCCATCCTTTCCGGAGCTGCTCACGGATCCCAAAGGGAATCTTCACCCGCTTCTCTTGGAAGATCGACTACCCCTGGTGGCTTGGACTCTTTCCGGGGTTCCTGTCAAGTCAGCGGACTATCGCAGGCTACCAGGGACCTCTTATGGGATTCCTGGGCCCCCGGAACTAGACGCTCCTACCTTTCAGCTTGGACCTCCTGGTCTACTTGGTGTATGGAATGGGACGCTGGGGATTGGCTCCCTAATGACCGCCTCTCCCTACGCCAATTGTCAGCCAAGTGCGCTTTTCTGCTCTGTCTCGTGTCCTTTCGACGGGTATCAGACGTTCGAGCCTTCGACGTTGACGCCTTCGAGATTGCCCCGGAGGGGGTCACTTTTCACGTTTCCCGTCGCACTAAGTCGGGTTCGACCTCGGTATTCTACCCCTTTTTCCCAGACGACCCGCAACTCTGCGTCGTGTCCACTCTGCGCAGATACGTTTCGGTTACCTCCTCGCTCCGGAACTCGGTGTCGGGCCAACTCCTAGTCTCCTATGTCCGCCCCCACGCGCCGGTCTCGGTCACCACACTGGCCCGGTGGATTCGATGGATCCTCTCCCTCGCCGGTATAGACCCTACTTTCGGCGCCCACTCCGTTCGAGGGGCGGCGGCTTCCTCAGCCTTCCTAGCGGGGGCGTCACTGTCAGACATCCTCCGAGCGGCGGATTGGTCTCGGGAATCCACTTTCCGTACCTTTTATTTTCGCACTCCCCCTTCTGCTGGGACATCTCTCCTTCAGCGTTAAAATTGCAAAATAGGAAGCCTCCTGTCATGTTATAAAATTGAAGATTATGCTAGCTTTAATGTACTAATAATCTTAATTTTAATAAGGACAGGAGGCGAGTATTTTCCCTCCCTTTTGTTCCCTACCCTGACGCCTCGGGGGAGTGGATCTCAAGGTGACGGACTTTTGTTTTGGCTTGTCAGTGCTTGCTACTTCCTTGGGGTGCACGCAGTTTCTATCCCGTCTCTCATCCCAGAACTAGGTCTTTGACAACCAGGTTACGTTGCACCACATATTCACATAACACGTAATTACCTAACATTACACACACTACTGTGTATATCACCACTTAGTTGGACACACTCTGATATGGCTCTCATGCGTGACCAGTTACGGTTCAGTACCTAACCTATTTCATACTCTTCTTTCAGTGTAATCCTCTTCAGGACCTCCACTGGTTGTTGGTTTGGTTACCCTCACGACTCCGCCTACGAGGATAAAGGCTTCGTTTCGTCTTCTTCCAACCTCGTTTACCAGGAGTCTCATCAAGTTCTGCTCACCAGAGACCGCTGTTGATTGTTTCGTTGGTTCTATCGTTTCGAGATCAGTCTGGACTTGGATGTCGCTTCAAGAAAGAGGAAGTGTACAGGCAGCATGACCCTTATATATACTATGCTGCTCAGTGATTTAATGTTACTCTTTACGTTTTTCTTTACTGCTGTGGAGTTTAGTAAAGAGAGTTAATGCAAAATACTCGCCTCCTGTCCTTATTAAAATTAAGATTATTAGTACACTAAAGCTAGCATAATCTTCAATTATCATCTGTAATAGTAATGGCAGAACTATAGATATAGCAGGGAGTATAATGAGAAAGTCCGGTGAATACACTCTTTAATCTCAGCTAATCCTAGGTCTAAGAGGTAGTAAATCATAGTCCTCTTTCCTTGTCAATCACATTAAAGGAACACTCCAATGGAAACATTTTTATTTAACAATTTAGTATATATACCCCTAAAGAAAGCATGTAGGCATTTAATTAAGCAATTTTTGCCACTGTTGGTATATAAAATTTGGTTGCAACGGCTGCATATCTCTTGTCTATAGCCTTTGTAAGCCCTACCCTTCATCTACAGCCCAGACTTTCTGTGGCATCCAATCACAAACTTCCCAATGCAGCTCAATGAGAAATCTTTGCAAGGCAGGTGCTCTGGACAATTGCTGCCTCGAGTTTAGTTCCACTGAGCTAACCAAAAAGTAAGAGGATTGTCTGATTGGCAGCCAGAGGGATGTAACAAGGTTTTGCCATTTTTAATAAAAGTGAAAAAAAAATTAAAAAGTGCACTTTTTGTAAAATAAATAAATAAAAAGCAATTCAGCAAGCTAAAGTGCTTAAGATGTGTGGAGTACCCCCTTAAGTGTGGGACCTACACTGTAATATACTAAATCAGAGAGGACAGACCCCAGATCTCTCTCTCCTGACCCTGGGCATGTATGTAAGATAGGACGAAAGATGCAAGGGATGTCGCCAGGAGCTGGAAGAGACAAAATAACAGAAATGGAGCCCCTTATCATTTTGTTATACTTAAGTGTATTCATTTATATTGTAACATGTAAAAATAATAGCTGGGATGAACAAATGCTATAATAAAACTACATTTTTATGTATATCATTAAGCAACTGTTTTATACTGGTCTGCTAAACCTCAGTGATAGGTTTCCAAACTATAATATGACATTGTTTCTTTATGACGGATTGCAGTGCCTAATGTCCTGGGAGCTTACTAACTTCTTATATTAGCTATTAAAAGCATTATAGTGACAGAATAACATAAGTATTTCAGTTAGTACTGTACTGGCTTACACAATCTCACTCCTTGTTTTCCTGCTGAATGAAAATGACCAGCCCGCCTAAATGTTAAAACATACAGAGGGTCATTTTTTTTATTATTATTTTTAACTCATCTGGTGTAATGTCTTACTTCACAGTAAACGTTTCCATTACTGGATGTACATATGTGTCTATAGACTGTGTATACACACACTTTATTATCCATTATTTATAATGTGCCAACATTCAGTTTGCTCTAGCAAATTAAAAATACACACAAAACAATGTTAAAGGACCACTCCACCCTTCCACCCCCCCCCCCGCCCCCAAAAAAAACAAAAACAAAGTTTAGTAGATATATTTTTATGTATGTATTTATTGGGAATTTAGTTTAAAATAGATGACAAAAGCTGCAGTTCTTATGACTGCAGCCCTTGTAAGTGCCTCCCCTTTTCCCCCCCTGGAAGAGACTTTCATTCTCTTCACAAGGATCCCCAAGTGCACAATGATGCGTGCAGGTATACTGCCGCACTGCCGGGTTCGAGGACAGGGAGATCAGGCATCACAGAGAACTATCGCGGTTGTGAAGGGGTAGAAAGGAGGGGGCGGGGGATGTGGGGGAAAGGGAGATAGTAAACCCCTGCCTATAGCCGCATGCCCCAGCCTGTGGCTACAGAACTCAGCACAGGCAATGGAGCAAGGCCAGACACCAGTGGGGTAGAGCCAGTAAAGCACTGCCCCACAGGAACAAAACCGCACAATAAAACACACAAGGAGACCAAAAATAAGCCTAAATAGCAATATAACTATGAATACAAATCAATCATTAATTGCAATTCACAGGGAGAGAGAATATATACTAAGCTGGTCTGAGAAACAGCAAAATAAGAGGAAGTTGGAGGCTAGTTCAAAGCACTTTATAGACTGTTCCTATATCCTGATTGGCTGCCCTGTTACTAGGCAGAGTTGGTTATGTTTGATATTTTTATTCATATTCTCTTTCTATACTTTTCTCTTTGCTGCTGAGGAATATATTAAAGAAAGAGAAATCATAATACTCACCTCCGTGTCATTAATAAAATCATGACATTATATTGTATTGGCAGAAGAGGAATGATATAGACTTGTAAGCTCATTTGAGCAGGATCCTCTTCAACCTATTGTTCCTGTAAGTTTTCTTGTAATTGTCCTATTTATAGTTACATCCCCCCTCTCATAATATTGTAAAGCGCTACGGAATCTGTTGGCGCTATATAAATGGCAATAATAATAAGAATTAATAAAATTGTAAAGCACGAGCACTTAGTGTGGACAAACAACATTTGAGTCCAGATCTCACATTCCCTGACCCTGAGAGTGAAGGTCGCGGCTGTATGCATGCACATTCAGAGACTACAGCAAACAATATCCACAGTTCCAAGCACAAAACTGTGATCCATGCTGTCAAACTAATAGTTGCCATGGTAGTTTATGGTATCAGCTTGTTAGGAAGTTTTGAAACGGCCACATTTCAACTCACGTATGTCTTTATTAGGCTTGATAAAAATTAATGTAAGCCAAAATGTTGCCTTTTTGTATCCAATAAAGTCTGCTTTGGATTCACCATTGAGTGCCTGGAACTATCTCACTGTTACACTTTGGAATGGAGGTTATGGCCCTTCAGTCTGTAAAGTGCTCTGGGATAATCCCAGAATAACCTGTATGCAGTGCTTTAGCTCTATTTACAATACTTCAAAACTTCATAAGGTTTTCTCCTAATCTATACATTTGCTCGCAAAACTGCTACCACAATGCAGATAGAAATGTGTATGCTGAAACTAATGGTAAATTGTTTGGGGCATGATAGGTGCCCTCTAAGTCAGAGGCTGCTAGTTTGACAGCTCATAACGGCACTCATCTTCTGAGAGAGGGAAATTCTGCTTGGCTGCCCTCTTTTGGCACTGACCTGTCCACTATAAAGGCTCCTACCATTTTTTCCCGGTATAGCCTTCTTTATGCTATAAAGAAAGTGGAATGGGTCTGGAGCTTCTGACCTTCAAAACTCCCAAATACCAGTCAGAATTATAATTTCCTTTCCAGATGGAAACGTTTAATTAAACAAAAAAAACATTGCCTGCTGTACTCAAAGGTTTACATAAATGTCAAATATTGTAATAATTTTTTTTTTTTTTAAATCCAGTAGGTATACTTATTCTATTACATAAAGTCATGTGGCTTTTTTTATTTTTAAACTGTAGACCTTTATGAGAAGTCTCTGAACAAACATTTTAAGAAGCTTAGTAAAATGATTTTGAAGTGAAGTGCTTAAAAGTAACTGTCATTTAGACAGCCAATCGGTACTTCAGCCTAAAATAGATTAAATTTTTGATACTATATGAAATTTGACATCAGTATGCAAAATATGCTTACACGGGACACTGTGTGTGTCCAATCCTTAACATATAGAGATATTATGAAGATGCAATCAATTGAAGATCACATATCATTCTTGTGTATGTGGCCTTAATACTGCTCTATGAAAACCATCTGATCAAAGTGATTAATTCTGTGAACTTCAATACTGGAGAAGTATATTGGGCTACGTTGATGGGTCTGTCCAAGTGCTGCATAACACACACGTTTTATGATTTTTTTTTTTAATGATTAAACATACATTGTACTTATTTCTATATTAGTGTATTCCTTTAAAACACTGCTCAAACTCTCTCTCTCTATATATATATATATATTACACACACAGATAACATAAAACAGCCCTGTAGGCAGTCAGCGTCAGAACCCTAAACTAAACCAATAATACTTCCTCCTTTTAATTAAGAGAAAATGGCTTACATAAGCAATGAGACAAGATGGGCTACTTTATTAAGGCAATAAAGCAGTCTGAGCATGCCCCTTGACTTTCTGCTCATCCAAACATACATTAGAACTTGTAACGAGCTGTCCGCATTGTCTTATTGCTACCTAAGCTCTCCCTGTACGCAGCGGGTCCTGAAGCTGAAAATACTAACGGCACAGCATATGGCATCGTTGGAAATAAAAACACCTGCTACCCATGAATCAGTCTCTCCCACCACATAGTGGTTGTTAGGATAGTACTGCAGTACAGCACAAGAAGGAAATAGCTACATATACTGGATATATAGAGATTAGGTAAATTTGCATACAAATTCAAAATTCAGTGCAGAAAACTCACAGATTTTTACCAAAACATTTTTGCATCCAACTTCATCTTGTTTTTTCCCATTTAGACTAAGAATACAAGTTAGTATTGATTCAAGAATAAATATTTTACCATACAAAACCCAACACATAATGTATTATCAATGCTTAACAAAGAAACCCGAACATTTCAAAAAGGTTTATCTCTTTGAGCTCATTAATTAAAAAAAAAAATATATATATAAAACTATATAAAATATAAAAAAAAAATTTCAGTCCCACATACAGCTTGTAAATAGGTTAAATATAAATAAGCCAAGCCTGATTATAGCTATTTAGTTTTTACCAGGCATGGCCTACTGTAGTGTATCGGGATGCAATTCAGCTTGCATTATGGGTGAGCCCTTCAATTAGAGAATAAGGTCAAAACGCCAAGTTCTTGTAGCTGTGCCATAGCCACACTGTTCCATCCTTTGTTAGCTTGGGGATTCCTGGGGGATGGATGCATTAAACACTTTACTTCCACCTCAATCCCCTCAGCTGCCAAAGCTTTTTTAGCCCGTTGTTCTGAGAATCTGCCCACTCCAATAACCATTTTAACCCCAAGAGTCTTGATTACTTGACAGAGGGATTCGTCACAGACATCCAGCAGCTTGTCCCTCTGTTGTTTTGGGAGGTCCGAGGGAGTCAGGTTCTTCCCTGACTGGTTCATGAAGATGAGGGGGCAGTGGTTGTGCACAAAGCAGTGTTGAAAAAAGGTTTCAGGTTGTCCACAGAGGGATTTGAAGAAACCCCAAAAGCGGGCACCACTAACCTCTCTATTGGGACATTCAAACCCAAGGATAGGTCTTTTCGGATGCTCTGACTGTGGCTTACAGACTTCGCCTTCAATACACAACCAGTTCCGCACATGGCTAACTTCCCCAAAGGGAACCTTTGATGGAGAAACAAAAAGTAAGAAGGTGAAAATAGAAAATTAATTCAGCATCTATCTTAAAAAAAAAAAAAAAATAGTTATACTAATTCCTACATCAGTGCTTGAACCTTTCTTAATCAACATCTATGGTCTGTTCCTTGGGAAATACTAAATTCTACTTCAATGTATATACTGATGAATCTAGATCATGAATGATCAGTTGTTTGTGAAAACTGTGCTTAGAACCACTTGTATACAGTTCTAGAGTGGGTAAGGAACTCCAAGTGGTAATATACACTGTCAGCTATAGCAAATTAAGGTAGGGGTATTGCTATATCAGGAGTTTATTGAAGCACTTCAGCAGATAAATCAGGATCAAAAATATAATTCCAGAAGATCTCAATTATAGTTTATCAGACGCCACAAGCTACCTAGTCCTGCTACAAAAATAAAGAGAAAACACAAATAAGGTAATCAAATAAAACTGTTTAATTTTTTCATCTATAGTGGAGTATAATATACAGGTACAAGAGTAGCAGCAGACTTGAATAAAAGTAAGATTTTACTATATTATGGGGGGGCAAACGGAACGGGGACCAGGGTGTAGATGGTGGTTTTAACCCTATAGTGTTCCTTTAATATATACAGACAGGTTAGATACAGAAATAAACGACTTTTTTAAAACAGTTTTTTTAGATCACATTTATATATTTCCCTTTTTGTTTTATGTCTGCTATGTATGCTTTCTCTATGCTGCCAGGTGCAAAGTCTTACAAAAATGATTGACAGGGAGCTAAAATTGAAGTGCCCAGTTACAGGAGGTGTGGATTTATATATTTAATTATATTTTTCACAACTGCAAATACATATTTGTTAAATAAAGAAATAGATAACATGATATTAAAAATCCTGGGAAATGTCAGCTGCCCTTTAAAAGAACATTTTATACAACAAACCCTAATACACATTTATTTCTGTTTGTCCTTGTAACGCCTGTAGACATGTCAGCTACAAGAGGCTTTAGCGATGTAGTTTACAGCTTAACATTGTACCATGTAACGCTCTACTTTTTAGATTAGGGTATGATGATGCAATCTGGCAAGGTCTCAACATCATCATAGAACTTAATGAAGGAGTAGCACGGAGAGGTGTAACCAATTATCACAGCCAGCAAGACTACCTGACCTTTTTCATAAAGTGTCACATCCCCCACTCCCAGTCAGTCTTTCCATCTGCTATTAGTGGATATAATTTGCTCTGGAGTTGCTGTCTCCTTGTCAGATAATGGTATTAACAAAAGCGGTGTTCTAAATAACTGGGGCAGTGTTGACAGAGCAATGCTCTGCAGGTGGATTGCAGGAACAGTGTTAATGGAGTATATGCTGGCAGATTTATAACAAATATGATCAGATACAAAACACATTGCTGTACCAGAGATGAGTTAATGAAAGAGATTGAAACCTCTCTGACTAAAATACTGTGTGCAAGCTCTTCTAGCAGGGTTATAATTAATTAATTATCAAATAAAAATCAATCACTCACTACTCAACAAACAAATCTTACCCCTGTCTGGGCCATGCCGAACGGTCCTGGATTCATCCCTAAAAAGAGAACATCCTTCTTTGACTGGCAGTATGTCCGCACATACTTCTCGTGTGGGTCCCAGGCATATAAGAGTGGATTATAAACATACTTAACAGGGTCCTGAAATTGAAGTTCTGCCAGCCTTAAATTCAACTCCTGTTCTATCTGTAGAAAGCTACTGGCAAGACCTTGATCAGGATAGAAGCTGGTGGGAACACCACATTCAAGTGGTGAGACAAACATTTCCTCTCCTTTATTTTGGCACCTGGAAAAAGAAATCCAAAAAAGCATGCTCAAGTTTTTTGGTTTTTTTTACAAGACAGGTATATCAAGAATGGTGTAAGAATGGACAAGCATAGCTTTAAATATTATTTTTAGTAATATAATACATACATAATTTCAAAATAGATTATATAAAAATATATTATTTACCAATATTTTTTAGAACTGGAGAAAAATAAATAAAATAAAAGTAAAAACAGCAAAAAAAATAAATAAAAAAAATTTGTGAAGCATTCAACGACCTCTCATGAAAAAACAAACAACTATGCATCAACCTGTGGCTATTCAGCTATGGTTGGGCTGGTTTTATTCCTCAATTCCTTTGCCAAATAACCATAGAGTTTTTTTTCCCCCATTTACTGTGTTCTCTCTCCTAATAAAATATGAACCAAGAAAAAAGAAAAAGACCGGGCACACATTTGGTAAAATACCAGGATATTTATTTTAAAGCTCTAGTGATTCTATCTTTTGTTGAATATATCTTGTATTATCCTCAGCAAACATTTTGTAGAGTTGGATGCTGTGGAGCATGGGTATTGTAGTTCATTTAACCAAATGATATCTATATTTCAGCCACACTCAAGTGAAAATGTACTCCTTCAAGCTGATATCAATAAAGCGGGAAAGTAACGTGTGAATTATCATTGTCAGATGTGTGTGTGTGCTGTACAGAGGTCAGATACAAATAAGCGTATCACACTTTATGTGAATTTAGGTCTTTAGCAGAAAAGTGAAATTTGGCTCTTAACAGGAACCAACAAAATAGAAGAAAGACCAGGCACACATAGGATAGAATACCAGGCAGATATAGTGAGGTATAAAGGGTAATGTTTCGGTTACTAAGAGCCTTTGTCAAGCTTGCATCATGCAGAGTGCCACTGTGAATTCTAAATCTGTCATATTCCTCTTTTACTAAATACCCCAGCCTGCCACACAGACTGAGACTTTGACTGGACCATTTTGCAGGCTCAAAGCGCATGCACACACTCTGAGCAAGCAAGGGTAGAGGAAGAAGGATGGAACGCAAAAAACTAAACAGATGGGATCAGGAATGATAAAGATCCAGGAGGGATTTATACTTTAACTTTGTGAATACACTTTTTGTTGGTAATGCGTAGAGTGCTCATTTATTTATATAAAATGTGAAATGAAAGCCCTTTTTTGTTCTTCTGAACAAAATTATATATAATAAGTGTGAGTGCAGCTTAAATTCCAAGTATTTCCATAAACACTATAGTGTCAGGAACACAAACATGTATACCTGGCACTATAGTGGTAAAAAAAAATAAAAAAAATCACTGTTCAGGTTTCCAACACCCATTGCCTTCCTTTAAAAAGGTCATTTTTCCAGCGCTGCACCGTCTTGCCATGGCTAGTCCCATCTCTGTGGCGGAGATCATCAAATTTGACAATCTCAGCCAGTCCAATGCTTTCCTATAGTGAAGCATAGGGAGGCTATTGCACAAGCACAGAAAAATGCAGCACTAATCATTAAACTCCTTATAGATATGCACAGAATCAATGCATCTCTATGGGGAACATTTAGCTTCTCCATAAAGCACTGTCTCAGGAAGTAGAGTGAATGCCCCTAGATGTGTTACTAGGCAGTATTGTGAACACTGCCTTTTCTTGAAAAGGTAGTGTTTACATTAAAAAGCCTGCAGGGACTGACTATACTCACAAGAACAACTACATTATGCTGTGGATGTTCTGGTGACTATAGTGTCTCTTTAAGGGGTTAAGGTTCAATGAAATGATCAGCAGATAACTTCTAATGTAAATACACTGTGCTGTAAGATCTGTTGTGCCATGAAAAATGCTTAATTGAACTAAAGTTGATTTGGTGCTTAGAGTATACCTTTATGCAGTAATTGCAAAATAATTAATACCAATACATGCACACTTTTAATTTATTTAGCATTTTTTTTAAATTTTGTGTATGTATATGCAACCAGTTTATTAAAGTTGCTCTGTCACTCTAAAACATTAGTATTTCATAAAGACCAGATCTTCATAAAATAATCTGTGACAGGTATAAGATATATTGAGACAAAGTAGGGTCTATTCAGTCTTTGTATTTTTCCTCTGCCTGACAAAAGAGGGGTGTTAACCTTTAGTCAAGCTTCTCATTTCCCCTACAGTGACAGCTATAGGGAAATAAAGCTTTTTCTATAACCTTAATGCTGTACTCTTGCGCATGAAGAAGAGCGGCAGGAAGAGGCCGGCGCAGCCCACAAAGGACATGTTCAGATAAATAGAGCTCACCTTTCCCTGCCTCAATGGCCATCGGCCCCCCACCCCCCCGGCAGCAATGTCATCATAAAGGGTCTTTATAAATTATGCAGATGGTGACAGAGCCACTTAAATTGTATGGGACATTAACCCTTTAAGTACCAAACTTCTGCAATAAAAGGGAATCATGACATGTCACACGTCATGTGTCCTTAAGGCAGGGCTCGACAAATCCCAAGTCAATTTTTTATCTAAAACACCTGGCTGGGCAAATAATGGAGCCGGCCGTCCACCCGCGGGAGCATGTTGACGGCCCCTGAGTGAGCGTTGCAGCTGGCCGCACTGGGCTTCATGGAGGCGGCCGGCTCAGTGGAGCATCAAGGCGGAGGCTGGGGCAGCGTGTGAGGGAGCAGTGCTCTTCCAGCGGCTCCTCTCTGCTCCCTTGCGCTGTGTAATGATGCCGGGAGCCAAAATATGACGTCATTCCGGCCCTGGCATCACATGGAGCAGAGAGTAGCTGCATGGTAGATTACTGCTCCCTCTCACACAGGAAGAGAGAGCAGCCCCACTAGACCCCAGGGAACGTCCACTCAGCTCTCCCAAAAGGTAGGGACGCTGGGTGGATAAAAAAAAATAAAAATTTAAATTTGTGTTTGAGAAAGTGTATGTGTGTATGTCAATGTGTGTGTGCGCGTGTGCCTATGCCTCTGTCAATGTGTGTGTGTGTGCGCGTGCCTATGCCTCTGTCAGTGTGTGCGCGTGCCTATGCCTCTGTCAGTGTGTGTGCGCCTATGCCTCTGTCAGTGTGTGTGCGCCTATGCCTCTGTCAGTGAGTGTGTGTGCGCCTATGCCTCTGTCAGTGTGTGTGTGTGCGCCTATGCCTCTGTCAGTGTGTGTGTGTGCGCCTATGCCTCTGTCAGTGAGTGTGTACCTATGCCTCTGTCAGTGTGTGTGTGCTTATGCCTCTGTCAGTGTGTGTGTATGCCTCTGTCAGTGTGTGTGTGCGCGCGTGCGTGCCTATGCCTCTGTCAGTGTGTGTGTGCGTGCCTATGCCTCTGTCAGTGTGTGTGTGTGTGCCTATGCCTCTGTCAGTGTGTGTGTGTGCGCCCCTATGCCTCGGTCAGTGTCAGTGTGTGTGTGTGCGCCTATGCCTCTGTCAGTGTCAGTGTGTGTGTGCCTATGCCTCTGTCAGTGTGTGCGTGTGCCTATGCCTCTGTCAGTGTCAGTGTGTGCGTGTGCCTATGCCTCTGTCAGTGTGCCTGTGCCTATGCCTCTGTCAGTGTGCCTGTGCCTATGCTTCTGTCAGTGTGTGTGTCTGTTTAGGTACCATCGATCACGATTGGTGTTTTTACTCACCCTTTTTTTCCTACACTGTGCAGGTTTTACTGTGGCCTTCATTGCCGAGTTCATCAATCTTTTTGATCTCAGCTAAGCAAATGCCTTCCCATAGGAAAGCATAGGGAGGATATTGCACATGTTCTGTATGGGTAAAATTCACTACAGGGACAGGCTATGGGCACCAGAACCACTACATTAACCCGTTAACGCCGTTCTATGCCGCCCCGCATTAAGTGGGCTTTAAAGCCGTTGTGGCGGCATAGGACGCCGTAACATTTCCTGTAGTGTTTGTGACTAAGTGGCTACTAAAAAAGACTAAACATACCCCACTTTCAATACCTTGGGTTGTCTACTTTTTCAAATGGTATGCCATTATGGGGGTAATTCTCATTCCTGGGCTACCACACCGTTTCAAAGGTAACATTACTAATCTGACAAATTTCAATTTGAAAATGGAACGTTCTATATTTGACCCGGTAACTTTCAAAAACACCATAAAACCTGTTAATGGGGGGTACTGTTGTACTCGTGAGACATCGCCGATTACAAATATGTGCATTTTTTGGCAGTAAAACCTAACAGTATTATGACATTCACAGCTAAAATGTCAGACAGAAATACAAAAAAAATAAAATCTTTTGTCACATTTTTAATAAATTATGTTCCATATATGAATAGTTAATGATAAATTAAAGCCCTGTTTCTCCTGAACAAAATTATATATAATAAGTGTGGGTGCACTTAATGTGACAGCGGTGAATTACGGTTGAACAGACATATAGCGCAAATTCCAGTTTTTGTTTTGATCAGAAGGTGCACGATTGACTCTGTCCTTAAGGGGTTAAGCTGTAGTGGTTCTGGTGACTATAGTGCCCCTTAAAAAAAAAAAAAAAAAACTGGCTCCTAACTTTTTTAGCTGGCTCCTAGAATCTAAGCAAAATTGGTCAAGCCCTGCCTTAAGGAGTTAAAGAGACAGCCTGCTCTTTGCAAGAGAAAGGGTTAATGATTTTACATGCAGGTGAGTTTAGCATAAATGCTATATTGACTTTTCAGGACTTTAGTAGCCCACCCACTCCCAGCAGAGAACCTATTTAAGCAAGATACTGTACATCTTTCCAGAGGAACATCTTAGCAGCACAGCAGCCTTGTAGCTGGTAAGGTATAATGGGAGTTGTAGTCCTGCAACAACTGAGGATTGTAAGCTAGGCTATTTGCTGAGCATATCTGCATTTTACAACTAATAAACATGCTGACTCCTTAGTCACCCAGAATGCACATTGTACTCAACCTAATAACAAAGGGTTGTTTCCTGCAGCCAGTGGGCAGTATCTGTCATTCATGTTTCAACATGAAAAACACAGCCACAATCTGTCTAATAATACACAGTACACATGCATTGCCCCATCCCCTGCCAGTCCAGACTATCCACACACTCTGTACCTTACACTTTCTAGCCCTACTCGCTTCTTCCGGGTCTGGAGCTCCTTTTACCACCGGGCTGACGGTCCCACCACGTCACGAGGAAGGAGCCTAGTCGGATCATGTGACTGCTCTTGTCACGTGATGCTAAGAGCTGCCCCTGCTTGATGCTGGAGGGCGGGAAGGAGGGAGCATGCTGAGTTTCCCTATCCTGAACAACTAGCACTGCCTGGCTCCCCCCATCCTGAGCAGCTAGCACTGCCTGGCTCCTGTATGGTACATCAAGCCACTTATTACAATGGACTAGCGTTGGTGGAGGGGCATTGGGAAGAAACTTCAAGATAAGTGTATTTATTAGTATATTGTAATGTAGTTAAAGTAGAATAAAAAAACCCAGTAGAAGTGATAAAGGTATTTCTAATAATTTGTAAGGGGTATTCTTTGTACTTTTCCTCTCCATTTGCCCTTTACAAAAACAAAAAAAGGTCTATAGCATGAGAAAGAAACAGCTATTTTTGAATGGAGTGCTGTTCATGTAAAATGTAGAAATTATTTTTACAGAATTTTATTGAGGAGGGGTTAATCACCACAAATAAATCTTCATTACAGTTCTGATCTTAGCATTGCTCAGACTACAGACCAGGGCGACATAAACCATTTACATTACCAAAACCAATAGGTGACGACTACACATTAGAGATGTCGCGAACCGTTCGCGAACTTCCCGCGAACGGCTTGCCGCGGTTCGCCACGAACCGTTTGTGGCGAGCTCCGGTCAGCTGACACATCCCGGCCAATCTCCAGCAGACCCTCTCTCCCAGACCCTCCCACCTCCTGGACAGCATCCATGTTGAAGCTGCCTTCAACATGGATGCTGTCCAGGAGGTGGGAGGGTCAGGGAGGGTCTGCTGGAGATTGGCAGGGATGTGTCAGCTGACCGGAGCTCGCTGCGAACGGTTCGTGGCGAACCGTGGCGAGCCGTTCGCGGGAAGTTCGCTAACGGTTCGCGACATCTCTACTACACATTAACCAAGTGGGCATTTTTATTTGAATATATATATATATATATATATATATATTTGCTTTACAGTCACAATTCTAACTTTATCCAAGAATTGCAAGAAAATGTGTTGTATATCTCATAATCATTTTAAAGGAACACTTCAACACCTGCTTATGTTGCCAAGAGTACCCTAGCACCCCAATATAAACCACTTTAAAATAGTTATCTTCATAACTTGGCATCCCCCAGGAATTACTCCCCGCCTCCACCTAAATGTGCTGTAATAGGTTGGTACTTGGATCTTTCCTTTACAGGGGAGCTCCAAAACAATATTAGCTTAATCATGAAGTGGTTTTGGTGTATAGATCATGCCTGTGTAGTCTCACTACTTAATTCTTTGCCATTTAGGAGTTTACTCAGCGCTAGCCACACCTGTATGACAATCTTTCTACACATTGATCTGCCTAACGTCTGAAAATCCTTAACTGTACACATATATGCAGACGACACTGTAATCTACGCTAGTAAACCCAAGCTACCGCAGCTTGAGGTTGTGCTCCAAAACCAATTTACAGAGGTAGAAAAGTGGATAGCGGATAACAAACTCTTCCTAAACACTGACAAAACTGTTACAATGATCTTTGGAACTGTACCTAAATTACTTAAACTACAAAATCAACAACTGTGTATCAGAACAAATTTAAATAGCACACTGACAGCAAATAAAATATCTAGGTATGTTGCTAGACCCCAATCTATCCTTTGGCCTTCACATTGAAAAAAATCTCTTCAAAATTTTACCCCAAATTAGATGCTTTGTACAGATGCTTTGTACAGAAACAAATCCTGCCTTAGCCCTACAGTAAGGAAACAGTGCAACAAATGCTAATGCCGGTCATTGATTATGGGGATTTAGTGTATGCATCCACACCGCAAACCTACCTTAATAAACTTAATATGTTATATAATTCGTTCTGCCACTTTGTACTAGAATGCAATTACTTTACACAACATTGTGACAGGTTAAAAGAGATAAACTGGCTGTCGCTGGAATCCCGACGCACTCTACATCTATCCAGCCTTGTGCATAAGAGCATTTCTGGGAAGCTCCCACCGTACCCGAGTAGAATGCTCTCCACAGCTGTCCCCTCCTCCTATAACCAATCCAGTACTAGCACGATATTTAGCATACCGCTATACAAAAATAAAGTGGCTCGAGCCTCCTTTTCCTACAGAGCACCGCAATAATGGAATAACCTCAAAGACACAGTCACATCTTCATTCAATCTAAAATCTTTTAAGAGATCTATGGCAACATACCTCAACACAGAATGCACCTGTTATGGTTGAATATATTTATTACCTGTTATGTATTAAATTTATATGTGTGTGTGTGTGTGTATATATATATATATATATATATATAAAAACAAGAGGGGGTTGGCTGCACTTACCTTAACATGCATAAATGGGGGTGCCGCTGGGGGCCAAATAACACAACACACAAGATCCAGCGCACTCACCCATCTACCAAACAGCAACTTCAATGCTGAAAGACTTCATTTGTTTTTTTAAAAACACCTAATCTAGACAAAAATAATGGGGGTTTAGTTACATTATATGATCATACAGTGCATAAGCCTGCCACAACGTCAATGTACCCCATCTTTGGCAGGTCCTACACTAACAGCCTAATGTCTGCTCTTATGAGATTAACCTACTTGGGGAAAGAAATTCCATCTGGGGCTCTCTGCTGTACAAGGCTAAATAGGGCCCTGGGATGAGGCACCTGTGACAGGGAGGGGTGCAAAACCAGGATTTCTTTTCCCAAGTAGGTTAATCTCATAAGAGCAGACATTAGGCTGTTAGTGTAGGACCTGCCAAAGATGGGGTACATTGACGTTGTGGCAGGCTTATGCAATGTATGATCATATAATGTAACTAAACCCCCATTATTTTTGCCTAGATTAGGTGTTTTTAAAAAAACAAATGAAGTCTTTCAGCATTGAAGTTGCTGTTTGGTAGATGGGTGAGTGCGCTGGATCTTGTGTGTTGTGTTATTTGGCCCCCAGCGGCACCCCCATTTATGCATGTTAAGGTGAGTGCAGCCAACCCCCTCTTGTTTTATATATATTTGGGAATCTAGCCAACTCCTTGGTTTTGCACCCCTCCCTGTCACAGGTGCCTCATCCCAGGGCCCTATTTAGCCTTGTACTGCAGAGAGCCCCAGATGGAATTTCTTTCCCCAAGTAGGTTAATCTCATAAGAGCAGACATTAGGCTGTTAGTGTAGGACCTGCCAAAGATGGGGTACATTGACGTTGTGGCAGGCTTATGCACTGTATGATCATATAATGTAACTAAACCCCCATTATTTTTGCCTAGATTAGGTGTTTTTAAAAAAACAAATGAAGTCTTTCAGCATTGAAGTTGCTGTTTGGTAGATGGGTGAGTGCGCTGGATCTTGTGTGTTATATATATATATATATATATATATATATATGTATATATATAGTTTGTATATTGTGTTTTTGTAAGGACATCCCGTTTATACTCGAGTCAATGGCTGTATTATGGCAACTTACATTGCCATAATACAGACCAGGACCGCCGGGCTCATTACAAGCCACTTACCTTCCTGCAGCTCCGGTCAGCTCCCTTGTCCCCTGTGCAGCTCCACTGTCAACTCCGCTGTGCTTACAGTGTAAGTCTCGCGACACCCGCGGCCGTCAGGGCGTTGCCACGGGTTACCGTGGCAACGCGGCACGCAGACCGCAAGACTTACACTGTAAGCAGAACGGAGCTGACAGGGGAGCTGCATGGAGGAGAAGGGAGCTGACAGGAGCTGCAGGAAGGTAAGTAAAAGTTCTCTGCCAACCCCCTCACTGGACCACCAGGGATTAACATAGCCCCCTCCCTGTCCAGGCAACAAGCAGGGAGGGGGGACAAAAAACAATTAAATTAAAAAACATACAAATATTAAAATAATAATATTAAAATATAATAATAATATTAAAATAAAATAATATTCAAATAATAATAATATTAAAATAATAATAATATTAAAATAATAAAAATGCCCTCCCCTCACCCAGTTTACACACACTGCATTCACACACACACTGCATTATATACACGCACTGCATTCACACAAACACACTGCATTATATACACACACACTGCATTATATACACACACACTGCATTCATTATATACACACACTGCATTCATTATATACACACATTATATACTTGACCTCATTTAGGGTCAAAGGTCAAATAAGACACCATTTTTAATTTGATGATTGTTTGGACCTTATATAAACTCACATGTGCCAGGCTAACATTATGTACACTTGAAGAAGCCCTTTGTGGTGAAACGCGTTGTGTTTTAATCTAAATAAAAGTATTTTTTCGGACTATTTTGAATACTTTTATATTTATCCTTATTTTTTTTACCTGGCACATCTTAAACATCTGAAGCTTTTGTACCATCCAAAGAATCCATGGTGGGGATCGTACCACCCAGGCGCTTTACACAGAGCGGTTTGTCTGCTCTGTAAATTGTAAGTACATCTCTTATTTTATCCAGCACTTTTTTTTAATATAGAGAGCACTATGGGCCTTCTCTTGTGGTTTTATTTCATATAACCTGCACTGAAAATCTCGTGAGAGGAATATCCTTCTTGTGGGGAGTTTAAATACCACTGTATGCTGTTTTAACTCGAGCTGGTTATAGCTCCCATAAATGTGAGTTGGAATTTCTTAATCTCAGTGTTGTCTGTAGCCATACTCCTTTAAGTTACTGCACCATTGGTCCCCTCTGTGTGTTTTTTTTCTTTCATATATGCTGATGAGAACTTGACCCAAGACATCCTGAGAATTTCTGAAGAGTATACCTGTGAATTAGAGGCTTTAATTTGCCTGTTTCTCTGGTTTTTCCTATTATACATTTTATTTATTTACTTTGTTCTTGGCGCACCCTGTAATTGTTGTTTCCTGTTTTTCCAGTCCTTTGAAGGGTTTTGAGGGTTACCCTTCCTTTCAGTTGTGCAGCCTCCCCCTCCCCGTTGTGTTCAGTTTGGATAGCGCTGTTCCATCCCTCTTTTTTATCCATTGATTCAATATTTTCCTATGGGGAAGGCCTAATCTGCCCATCACACATACGCATTAGGTTCGCCTAAAGGCGGAGTCTCGACTCAGCCCGGAGGGACATCGGTGCTAGGATCTGGGCAAGTAAGCAAGGGGGAGCTTTGTATTCCTAACACTATAGTGTCCCGTTAACTGTAACAAACTGTACTCTTCACAGGCAGTGATTGTGTTATATATCCCACATTGCCATAAGACTTTACAGACACCTGGTCCAAATTTAGGGGAAATCATATTAAGCAATTAGAAACATAGAATGTGACGGTAGATAAGAACCAATCTGCCCATCTAGTCTGTTCAATATTTCAAAATACTTTTAATTAGTTCCTGGCCTTATCTTAAGTCTAGGATAGTCTTATGCCTGTCCCACGCATGCTTAAACTCCCTCACTGTGTTAACCTCTACCACTTCAGCTGGAAGGCTATTCCATGCATCCACTACCCTCTCAGTAAAGTAATACTTTCTGAAATTATTTGTAAACCTTTTCCCCTCTAATTTAAGACTATGTCCTCCTGTTGTGGTAGTTCTCCTTCTTTAATTATAGTCTCCTCCTTTACTGTGTTGATTCCCTTAATGTAGTTAAATGTTTCTATCATATCCCCTCTGTCTTGTCTTTCCTCCCAGCTATACATGTTAAGTCCCTTTAACCTTTCCTTAGGAGAAAGTTACTAACAAGGTTATTCACTAAAGTTAGAATTGTTGGGAATTTAAAGTGAATTTCAAATTTAAGGTCAAAATATCCAAACTAGAAGCATAGCTGTGACGAAAGCACCTTCATCACTGGGATTTGG